AGTCGGCCGCAACCGCAAAGAGAAGCAAGATGGTGGAGAGATCGAAACGTTTGAAAGAGTCGGGGTTCACGAAAATGTATCGTCAGATAAGCATAATTAGACGATCGGAAAAGAAACTGTTATTCAGTCCGGTGCTGGCTGCAAGCTCGTTATTTATCAGCGCGAGCTTTTATTACCGTCTGCACTTATAGGATTAAATCACGAGCGATGTTTCAACGGAACGTTGCTTTCCTTTCTCACTCTCCCTCTCTCTTTCTCTCTCTCTCTTTTATTAGTGTTAAAAATACTGCGTAGCATCGTGATGAAGTCATACTTATTTATTATTACTGCACAACGCAGGAAAGATTAAATATCGCAGTGTGCAAAATTTCCGCAATTCGTCATCGTTTCTCTGTATCTCTCTCTCTCTCTCTCTCTCTCTCTCTCTCTCTCTCTCTCTCTCTCTCTCTCTCTCTCTGCCTCTCTTCTCTTTCTCTCTTTATAGCAAACATCCTCTCGATGAATAGCGACGAGAATACGGGTTGCATAAAATACGCAACGAGAGAGACTCACTCGGACAGTAACGACGCACCACCGGTGCGGCATGGCATAGTGCGGCGAGGGCGAGGGGATGATAATTGAGAGATCCAAATGATACTTTGATGACTGTCCATCCCTCTCCTGTGTTTCCGCGAAAGCGTGCTTTTTTATCAGTACCGCTTCTTCGGTCCGCACCCCCGCGGAAACGTATTTGTCTCCTCCCTCTCCTGTTGTCCGGGATTGCTTCGGCGATAGTAATAAAGCGGCGCAAAAGAAGAATAAAATAGACCGGAGTTTATTGCGCGTTCTGGCCAACAACCTCCTCGCGGGAAAAACGTGTAAAAACAAAAAGATACAGTCAAGTAGGGAGGTTAATAAGAGAGAGAGAGAGAGAGAGAGAGAGAGAGAGAGAGGTTTGAAAACTGCACAGCACATCACCGCAAGAGCAGAGATAGACGCCCGTTTATTAATGTAAAAAAGTATATAACTGTCTGCAGGAAATAATATAATTTCTACAGGCTCTCTCTCTCTCTCTCTCTCTCTCTCTCTGTCCTCTTTCTCCCCTCCTTCTTTGCAGTTACGGCCAATGGAATGGTATTTCTGTTCTTTGCGCGGAAGCGGATCCGAAAAGAAAGGCGGAAAGGACGCTTTTCGGGAAACAAACGGCTCGCGTTTCCGCGTAATCCGATGAGAAAGAACGAAATCTCTTGGGAGAAAGTGAGGCCGGGAGTAAGAGGACCGTTTACTTTCATCCCCGAAGGCGACGCGCGGCGGGACAAAACGGGTGGTGTGCCGGAATATCCGTCGTTCGCTGGTTCCGCTTGCGGGGGGTTGAAATAAAACGATGCTCTCCGGCGGTGGAGCGCGTAAACCGGCAGCGAAAAGAATTCGGGCGAGAGTTTCATTAAATCGCGGCACGAGTAGCAACCGAACAGGGGATGCATAACAAGACAACGAACAATACAAATAGTGAAGGGAACTTACGCCGGCAGCGGGAACGCGGCGACAAGAGACCAAGGAAAGAGCCGCGTCCATGCCGCGTCACGGCGCTGTCTCTGAAGGAAACATTGCGAGACACAACCCTTTGAGCCGCGCGACACGTCGATGTGCGATGCGCAACGCGCTTTGCCGTCGCGGTCGTCGGGTCTTTTTCTCTTGATGCTCTCGCTCGCGAGACTATATTTTCACGTAGTCATCTCGCGGTTCGTTTTACATTTCACTTGTCTCAGCGAGTTGTAACGCGCTCTTCGCGTTCGTACCGTTCAATAGCTCGCAATACTTTCACTTTCAAGCCAAACGACATTTTATACACGTATTGTTCGCATTATACGAGTATTAATTAATATCTTACGAGCGATATATCAGTATCAACGCGCAATTAATCTATCCTATTTTTCTCGTTCGACCTATCGTCGACTACTATCGTCGATTAAATCCGAGCTCCATTCGGTTTCGAATATATAATATTATAACCGCGTTACATTCTCATACTCGCTTGATACATATAATCTCTCTCTCTCTCTCTCTCTCTCTCTCTCTCTCACTCACTCACTCACTTGGTCGTGAGAGCTTTTCAACTGTCGCCCACAATATCGCGATTTTAAGCTTGTCAGACGCACGGCACCTTCGGCTTTTACATGCGTCCTATTTTGTCTCGCTGTGATCCACGTGAGCAAAATTATCGGAAATTCACGAAGACGCGCCGCCGCCGCCGCCGCCGCCGCGTGCGATCTTAGCGGTGCGGCCGTCGTGCAAAGAACTAAACAGCTGATCGCGGCCGAGCGCAGCACGTTCGCGCGTGGGGTAGGTCATGTTCCTACGCTACTGCGCTAGTAACCGCGCTTTATCCCGCACGCATCAACACATATCACGCGTCTCTCATTATTCACGAATGAGTGCGCGCGCGCATGTGATTTTTCGCGAGTTGCAACTCGATGGGGAATTGACGCAACAATGTACGACAAAGACGGACCTATTAGGCTCTATCGATTGCGCGTCTATTTATGCACCTCGTAGCTAAGATTATCAGAATACGCGTACAAGTGTTTCGAGATTAACCTGTATGAAAGATAAATATAATCCCATTTAATAAAAGGAGAGAAAATATTCTATTGATATATTTGACACAATTAACCTGACATAATTAAATAAAACAAAAAAAATTATATATATATATATGATACATGAATGAAATATATAATTGGTCTGGTATATATAGTTAAATATATCAATCAAAATCCGTAGAGTCAGCGGAATTGCATGCTGCGAAACTTTCATGCAATTCTTTCATGCTTTCAGCATGCTTTCGAAGCAATTTCAAGCGAAATATTGTACAATTGGTACGCAGGTTAAAACTCTCGATTCGAAGACTCGCCTCGACAGGACCACGGAAAGGGGTTTGCGGTCGTTGAAGTAAAGTACGGCGCGGCGACTCGAAATAGTTTAGTGAAGCTTCATGACTGCAGTTGGCGAAAGCGACCCGATCGATACCCGATCGAGTAACGCGATGGTAACGGTGGGGCCAATTCGAGCGAGAAGTCACCTAAACTCGTCGCAGAACAACGTCACAGGACAACGTCGACCGCCAATTCGATGGGCAGCTCGAGTTGTGCTCCGTGGGACACGGCGTACGACGCGTCGCACTTTCACCGACGTAATTGTCGCTTACGGGTCGCTTGCGGTTGCGCTCTTGTTATTTCGCTTTATCGGTACTTCGGGATCCCTGTGCACGTCCGTCCCGTGATTCTCCCTCGATGACGAACGCGTCTTTGAATCGTCGGCGCGCGTCTCAATCGATCACTTAATCGCTATCCCCTACAGCGCATGCTGTAATTTTCTTCTCGATACTTGGTTTTCTCTTTCTCCTCACATATGCCATTCTCATTCGCGACGAATATCTTCCGGGTCCGCAACTATCATAAATGTTTCACGTGTATCGCACTACACTTGCGCTCGCGCGGTTTTATTATTCCGGAAAGTTACGTGCCCGCGTTTTTATTTCCGTGCGGAACTATCGTTCTTCACTAGCGCGAAAATGCGATGCCCGCGGGGAGCACCGTTTTGTTATTTCGCGTGCGTATCCGAGAAACAGAGAGAGAGAGAGAGAGAGAGAGAGAGAGAGAGAGAGAGAGAGATTGCCAAGAGAGAAATTTAGATATGTTTATGGACGGGTGGTATAGGTGGTATGCAGGGTGCTAAATTTCAAACGTAACAGGTAAAAGATCTCGAAATCTACAAAAGATATTAAGAGAAGCTAAAACACACGTTCCATGATTTCGAAGGGGAAAGAGAATGGCATTATTAGTTTTTTATTTGAACGGCATTTTCAAGGTCAGTTGAAGGTCTTAACTTAATTTTTTAAAATAGAAAGCCCAATTTTTTATTATATCTTCTTTTTCTACCAATTAATTTTAATAACTTTTGTCTGAAACATTTTTTTATTTGCCTAATATTTTTTGAAATATTTAAGGAAAACTTGGTAACTTTTTCAACATTTAACTTACGATATCTCGCTAATTATTCGTCGAAAGAAAAAATAGTATTAGACCTTTTTACTTTATTTACTATCAAGAATATATTACTATAATAGCGCCCTAACTTTTGTTAACATATCGACCTTTGGAAATTTCAATATTATTAAATTAACAAAAGTTAGGGTGCTATTATAGTAATATATTCTTGATAGTAAATAAAGTAGAAAAGTCTAATGCTATTTTTTCTTTCGATGAATACTTGGCGAGATATCGTAAGTTAAATGTTGAAAAAGTTACCAAGTTTTCCTTAAATATTTCAAAAAATATTAGGCAAATAAAAAAATGTTTCAGACAAAAATTGTTAAATTTAATTGGTAGAAAAAGAAGATATGATAAAAAAGTCAAGTTGACCTTCAACTGACCTTGAAAATGCCCTCCAAATAGAAAACTGATAATGCCATTCTCTTTCCCCTTCGAAATCATGGAACACGTGTTTTAGCTTCTTTTAATATCTTTTATAGTTCTCGAGATTTTTTACCTGTTACGTTTGAAATTTAGCAGCCTGTATATACAAAATGAATCCACATGAATGCGACTCGTAAACGGAGAGTAAACGGAGAAAGTTGAGAGAATCGAGCGAGACTCGCGCGCGCACGATTACGCGTGGCCGAGGAACGCTCCTATACTTCAGTCATAATATCGCGCCAATTCCCACCACCTCGGCGCTCCCGCGTATCGTATAGCGGTAGCGGTAACGACCAATAGCGTCGGAGGAAACCGAGGATGACGGTCACTTCGACGAGACCGTCGCGTCGCTTTCGTTCGGCGGCTCTTCGTTCAGTGTGCGTTCGCTCGCGTCGTACAACGGCATTTGCGACGGGTGGTAACGTCATAAGTTGCAAATCTCGCGAGATGGCGACGGAAGGTTGCGTTCTGTGCGAGCAAGGGCGCAATTGCGGAGGCGAGCAGGGGATATCGTTGCACGTGTAATAAGATCCGTTTGTATGTGTGCGGTGGGTGGTGTGTGTCGGGGCACGCGCGTTGCGTGACACGCATACACACACACACACACACACCGAGCGCTTTTTAATCCGAAGGAATGAACGAGCGGTAGCGTCGCGACAATTTTGTGCACGAGAGATGCTTGCGTTTCATTCGATCGTCACGATTCTATCGTGACGTTTCGTAGGGATTTAAAGGAACAAAGTTAAGCGTCAGCGAGTATCAGCTGACTGGAGTGGGGAATCGTGTCAGAGATGGCGCGTTTGAGGATTGTGTGCACCGTGTTTCACAGGACCGTGACTACCGACCCCATTTGGGACTCCGTGCGAGCTAAGAATTGAACATTCTCCTTTCTTTATAGCGCTGTGATTAATAATCGATAATCAGGCAATCAAGATCGCTTGGTCGTCTTGTTGATCAAAATTAATCACTTGATTAAAGTTTCTTCTTTTTTTTATTATCATCCTTTCGTGTCGCACGTTTGTTCAGATTTCCCGAGGACGAAGTACGAAGGAAAAAGTGGCTGGATGCGATCGGAAGGACAGACATGGAAATACCCGCTCAATCGTGTCTGTGTTCGCGACATTTCCCTCAGGATTGCTACGCGAACGCGATCCTGAAGGACGACGCACTTCCAAGCTTAGAGCTAGGCCTGACTGATCCGACGTCGAACGCGGAAGTCGACGGGAAGCCGGGAACGCAATTATCCCCCCCACAGATCGCGAGACCGATCATTCGAAGGTAAGGATCGACGACACTCGAGAAATAGCGAGCGCGACCAACGGCGTCACCAACGGCGTGTCTGGCCGGCTTGAGAGGCTTGAATGAGAAATCCGCGCGTAATTAAGTATAAGTAGAAAAGCAATCCAAAAGCGATGTCTCTTGAAATTATGTGTCTTTCGAGTTTCAAATTACCCAAGTTTTGCATTCATCGCACGCACATTCTTTCGTAAAGACCGCGGACTCGCATGCTGTCGGACGAGGAGATACAGAAGATGCAACCGATCAAGTACGTGCGCTACCTAAAGAGCGTCAACTGGGATGAGATCTCGAAATTGCCGACGGAGGCGAAGATCGTCTGGGAAGTGGCGATGGAGGAGCTGAAGGAGGGCAACGATAAGATAAAGCATTTGCAGGCGCACGTTCGCCACCTGAAGACAACCGTTCGCAAGCTGGAGGCTGTACTGAAAACACGTACGAAGAGGGCGGCCGTTGCCGCAATTGCAGCGCGTCATCGCAAATCTCTCGGTTAGCCACACAGAGGAGATTGCGATTAACTAAGCCAATTGACGTAACTCGACTTGCAATCTGCCGTTAAAAAAAAAAAAAACGCACACCTATACACGGAGTGGAGCGCAACGATTGTACTACGATCACGACAATCTGTAAATAGTTAGAATTTCACTCCGATGTAAAATGTTACAGAAAAAGGTTGAAATAAAAATTTTCACACGACGGTACTTACGACATTTGTCTGCAATTTGCAAAATCAACTTCCCGTTGGGTCGCTGTTCACATTCCGCAATTTACGAGAGAGCATCGTCAAGCGTTACAGCGCATTAATCGTTTAAATACCGCGAATGACGTTCTTCATTACGCGTCTAATTCTCGGGCTTACTTTCGAAACGGTCGATTCATGCGCAGCCATGACAGCGGGGCGAAACATTCAACAACGTCGCGAGAGGGTGAAGCACCGCAATTATGCCGCGAATAAGATTCGCGCCCCTCCCCCCTCTCTCTCTCTCTCTGTGTGTGTGTGTGTGTGTGTCTATCTCTCTATTATGGCGAACGAGGCTGTGAGAGGCGGGCTCGCCCGCTCTCAGGCTGTTTGCGCTCGACAATGCGACCGCGACCAGGGACACGCTCTCTCGCGTTGCCTCAGAACAAATGCATTCGTCGATGGCATTCCGCGGATCCTTTCAGCGAAGACACAAATGCGACGAGCTCACGCGCGCTCTTCTACCGCGTGACAGCACGGCGCGTAGTATGTTTACCTAACCGACAACCAGAGCGAAATACGGGACGAGCAGGGTAACTAGAAATAGAGGAGGCCACCGGACACGAAGCGAGGGCATGAAAGCGACGATGGGGGACTATCTTTTGTCCGTGAGACTACCGTGCGGTGCCACATTATTTCGACCGCATATATAGATATGTAGACGATATTGGAATAACGAAAGGAAAGATCGATCTCGGACCGTTAACGAAGTATTTCTTCTTGTTACATCCTCGAGAAATTGGCCTCTTTCGTGCCGTACGTGTACTGCAGAAAGCCACAGATTATTAAGTGAATACAAAATATGCTTCCGCATTCGCGATGTTATATATCCGACAAACGTTTTTCCGCGAATACGTTAAATAAAACTCGCATTTCTTCTCGCATGGCTCCTCCTCTCCTTCTCTCTTGTCCTTGTTGAAATTTCCCGGACGCAGCGCCGCATGAAACGAGCGCCGGAAGATTAAGGCGGAAAGGATGATAACGCTGATAGACAGATGGAAAACGAACATAACAGCGGCGGCCGGGGAAGAGAGTGAGAGATGGGGAGGGGAGGGGAGGGAGAGAGAAGGCAGAAGCGAGGCGCAGGGAACGCGCAAGAGGACGCGCAATGCATTCGCGATCCCCCAGGAGAACCAGCAAAGCTCTGCTGCAGTGTACTAAATCACCCCCCCCCCCCCCTCGGGATGGCGCGGAAGGTGAGGGTGAGAAAGGAAAGCGAGAGGGAGAAAGGTGAGGGGAGTGGAGAAACACCCGCGCGAGAGAGCCCGGTCATTCTTTATATTTTATTCACGTTTCATTTCACCCAGCCGTACGTGTACCGAAAAGAGACGACGGCTCGCCGACGAGAACGCTCGCGCGCGCGCGTGGAGAACGGGCTAACGTGCGTTCTCTCGCATGCAGCCTTTGTTGGTGCAACGATGTGTACAGTGACAAGCAACGCGACAACGAGACCAACCGATGATACGGGAGTGTCGCGTGTCGATCAAATCAGTTGATGTATGCACGGTAATTTCAGCAAATTCTCTTTTCTCTTTTCAGACGGCGGATCAGTCGTCGAGAGCCATTTACGTGATATGACGTATGATATGTAAGTAGTGAGAAGAGAAGCGATATTATATATTATAAGAGCGATAAGAGTAATCCTACGAAAGAAAGATCCTGCAATCTATTTTCGCATGACAATGTATATAATTAATTAACACACACATGTACATGTATGTGTGTATTTTTCAGATAATGTTGCGTCACCAAACCCGGTCACGTAGTGGAGGCGCGGCGGAAAGTTCCGGAAGGAAATGCAAGCGGGTCAAAAGTTTCTCCCTATTCTCAAACATTGCGTCGAGCCGTCGTGCCGGTAACTCGCACGACGTCACTCGCCTTTGCGCACTCGACAGTTTTATTCGAACGGCATGATGCGTTATTTTTATAGTTTTTACGGTCTTATTACTCGGTAACGTGGCTCGCGAGAGAGGCTAGGTTCGATATATACCCACACATCTACACACAGAGAGGATCAGAGGAATATTTTACGACGCTACTCCGCTCCCGCTATATCCGTCCAACTTTTATACATATCGCGCGACTCGATTATACGAGATAGCAGAAATTTTCTGTGACTCTGGATTCGTGATTACGAGAGCTGAGACTGAACGAATCTTCAGAGAGAGAGAGAGAGAGAGAGAGAGAGAGAGAGACTTATCTCGGCTATAGGCCCGGTAAGTACGTAACGTCAAGGAGACCCGCATGCGATTGCCTTCAAATGTCCTCCTTCAAATTTCCTCTTCACGCCCTTATGTTTACGCGCGTCTCTTTGAAGATCACAAATTTCCAGGTGTCTCCAGGTGCGCGCGAAGCTCAAGGCGAAACGCCGCAACTGTTCACGATGAAGTACTTGGCGAGACGGCTCGCCGTTCGCCGTGCGGCTGACTATCGAACGAGTTTGCTCTGCTAAACCCTGCCAGCTTTGCCCTGTCGCTGGACTACAAAGTGCCCCATCTACTTGCAAAGTTGCGGGATATATTCTCGCCCAAAACTCGAATTCCCGACGCTGACGCAGCATCGGTGCGTCCGGGGCGGCATTTGTAATCCCATCCATGCGCGACCTGTATTCTCCTCCTTTCTGAATTTTTCGCGTTTGAAGGAGAAAACCTTCGACGCCTCTCTCTCTCTCTCTCTCTCTCTTTCTTCAATTCTCGGCCACAAAATTGGAATTTGGAATTCACAGATATTTGAAAACGACGCAGCATACGCACATTGATCAATTGACCGATCTGTTTTCAACGAAGAGGGAGATCGACGAGACCCCGGACTAGTCCAATTTGTGGATACCGGTGGCGTTTCCAAATTTCAAGAGACCATTTATTCCAACGACTGAGAGAGCCGAGCAGATTTGCTTACCGATATACCTTGTGCGACAAAGCTGCTCGCAAAATTTGCGCGCGCATCGAACAGGCCGAAAATTTGGCCGGACGAATATAATTAAACTATTTCCCGCGATCAAAGCAACTTTCGACATGTTCAAGTTGCAATTCTACACTTGATCGCGAAATGAAGTGACACGGTGAGAAATTTGTCAGTACCGCGCGCGCCGTACCGTCGTCTAATAATTTCGTTTCGATATATATATATATATATATATATATACACGACTGTGTCGGAAATGTCGCCAACTATATTGGCTATAGTTGGCTAAGTTATACACTTGTTCCAACCGCTGCATTTAATGCCGCGTCGTCGCTAGCGCGGCATGTACATGTATATACTTTGTTCGCATTAATAATACTGCGAATTTGTTCGAATAAACGATACGATATGATAAAGTAGGTGCAAAAATGATAACGATACGCGCGAATGCGACTCGCGAAAAATTCAACTCGTCGATTTCAAACGAGATTGGTTTCGAACGTTCTCCGGAACTTTTTCTCTCCCCCTGTTTTTCTCTTCCATCGAAAGAAAGAAATCCGCGGTATCCGCTGCACCGCGCAGCGGTTATATTATCAGCGATCCGCCGCCGCGAATCGCCGCGAATGTGTACGTGTTTATCGAGGCGGTGCGGCGCGGCGCGGCCCCGGGATCATAAAAGGCAAGCAACTTTTCCAATATACCGAATTGCCGGCCGTCACGCTACTAACGTTATAGTACTTCCGCGTTGCGCGTTACTTGCAACCGGATTACTTGCAACAACAGCCACGATCTCGTCGATCGTGGTCCTTCCTCGAAATTTGAACACGCGGTGCGTCCGTGCGGGCGCTCAGCCCGCCTCGCCGATAACTCGCGCTATAAATCCGCCGCGGCACTTTATCGCCATTCGCCGCGCGGAGAGTTTACGATCGTGATAGCCCGCCGTCCGCTCTCGGCGTCCGTGTTTCCCGTCGCCCGACGCTTACGCGTGCGAGATTGCCCGAGAAATTTCGAATGACGTGCTGCGAATCGGCCGATGAACAATCGATCGGCGCGTACGTTAATGTACAGCGTTAATACGAACGCGAATCGTGATCGTTGAGGGATAGTGGACGAAACGCGGTTAAGTTTAAGGGAGCGCCGCGCGATAGAGCGTTGCGCGCTACGCGCGCTACCGTACGAGCAACAACGCTGGTTATGGCGCACAATTATAGCACATATAATATGATAATGGTATAACAGTTATGGTGGTATTCCGCGTACCCCGCGTCCTCGGACGCGAGCACTCGCGAGCGAAGAGCGTCGCGTCGGTGGAGAAATTATTATATGCTTACCGTACATCTGCTGAATCCCGTGCCGGTCGTCCTCCGGTAGCTTGTAGTTGGGGCTCAATCCTTGGTACCAGGGATACATGAGAGCTCCCTGGACCGAGCTGTGCGCTAGTCCCAGGGAATGGCCGAATTCATGAGCAGCCACCGCGAACAAGCTGGTGCCTGAAAGCACAGAAAAATATTCAGAATTCGCCGTCGTCGGGCCTGCGCGAACATCTTATCTGCATGCACGTGTGTGTGTGTGTGTGCGCGCGTGCCATACGAGGTGACCCCTTTTGCATTTGTGTCAACCACGGTACTCGCCGGTGTATCCGTGCATGCTTGCGCGCAAACACGCAAACAGCATGAGCATGAGAGGAGACAAGGATAGCAGGGCAGGAAGAGCCTTGGCGCTATTTCGCTTTGGTGGTGTTTCCTTGATTTTTCGAGAATTTCACAAAGACGGAAAGAGAGAGAGAGAGAGAGAGAGAGAGAGGGAGAGAGAAGCGATACAATGCGGTTTTTTTTAGCGAGAAGAACGCGATACCAAGCGCTCGTGTGAAATCGCTACTGAATGCTGCTTCGAATCGCTCTGACAATGTGAGCTTTAATCTAATAAGCGAATCTTTTTGCTCGCGAGATTGCGAAATCGAAAGATATCACGATATCACGGTAGGAGAGAGTTGCCGCATCTATCGGAATTTTCCGCGTTCGCGTGTCGAGTTTTCCGGGCAATTGCATCGGGAATTGCAATTGCCGCCGCCGCCGCCGCAGAATCTCGGCCTTCGTTTCGTTTCGTTTCGTTTCGTTTCGCTCCGATTCGATTCGTCCCACATTGAGGAAGTACGTTCCCAGATACGAATCA